TTCCTTTGTTTATTAGTCCTGTGGTGTGGAACTAGATTTGGAGGAAACCCACTTTGACCAAGCAGATGAGGACAACGATGATGTAGCAACATTGGCTTGGCAGGAGTCTGGGCGGATGAGTGGTATTGTGATCAGAATTGTCCCATCAGCTGAGATTGAGTGCACTGTTTTGTCAGAGAGACCTAAACTTCTATCTTATTGTTGGGAAAAAATCTCTTACACTTGCTTTGTATTTATGCTAATGAATACTGAGGGATTTTAGACGCGATCTGTTGGGAGAGTCACTAGTTTCCAGGTAGCTTCTGAAAAAGAGCCTCGTATATGCCTAGGTTCAAAATTCTGGGATACAGCTGCTGGGAGGCATGAGTACTGAGCTTTTGCTCTTCCTGAAGATTCTCTCCTGTGGTTTTCAGGCTCTTTGATACCTTCAGCTTCTCATGTGAGTCAGCATCATGTCACAATGCGAGGTACCCATAGGGCAGCTCCACAGCAAAAGTGTTGCTGTGGCAGGAAGAATGCCCCTCCTCAGGGGCACATATTTCTGTGCCAATTGTTAATGCTTAAGAGGGTTGCCAGAGTCAGGTGTCCTATGGGATGTACATTGCTGCCCAGGGAGCATCACAACCGACGTTGTGAAAATAATGCTAGGTAATTGTTTACTGCCTGTGGTAGGCAGAATAATGGCTCCCCAAAGATGTTCAAGTCCTAATCTAAGAAACTGTATGTAGGTTACATGGTTGCTATGGTCCAAGTGCCAGTGTCCATTCAAAATTAATATGTTGAAACCTAGCTCCCAAGGTGATGGTATTTAGGGTGGAGGGCATTAGACAGATAATTAGGTCATAATAACCCCACCCTCATGAATGAGAATAATACCCTTATAAAAGAGGCTTGATGGGGCCTGTTTATCCCTTCCATCATGTGAGATCATATAAGGTCACATAGAAGGTGCCAATATGAGAAACCAGCCCTCACCAGACACTGAAGCTGTTGGTGCCTTGACCTTGGACTTCCCAGCCTTCAAAACTGTGAACAATGGATTTCTTATTGCTTATAAATTACCAGGTCTAAGGTATCTTGTAATAGCAGCCTGAAATGAACTAAGACAATGGCAAAGGGGAGTTAGGATTTCAGACAGAATTAAGGTTGCTAACCAGCTGACCTCAGATGGAAAGATTACCCTGTGCTATCTAGGTGGGCCATTGCCATCACATATTTTCTTAAAAGTGGAAATGGGGATTGGAAAAGAGAACCAGAGAAATGGCAGCATGAGAAGAACTGGGCCTGACATTCCTGGCTTTGAACATGGAGAAGGGGGATCCTGAACCAAAGAAAGTGTGGATGGCTTCTAGGAGCTGGAAAAAGCAAGGAAACAAATTCTCCTTTGCAGCCTCCAGAAGAAAACCAGCCCTGCTGACACATTGATTTTAACCCAGCGAACCTCATTTTGAACTTCTGCCTTCTGGAACTGTGAGATAACAAATCTGTGTTGTTTTAAGACACTACATTGTGGTAATTTGTTATAGTAGCCATAGAAAATCAATACACTGCCTTAATAATTAGCAGAGGTGAATATAAATGTTCAGAGAGTTAGCTCTCAGACACAGATCTTTTTAGGGATAGATAATTTTCCAACAATAGGTTCTGGGAAGAGATCAGAATATGACCACAAGAACAAACAAGTAGTGATGGGTAGAAACCCAAAGCGATAGCATTACAGCTCTGATCATGTTGCATTTAAAGATGTTTCCCTAACCCCAACTTTTTCCTTTTTATCCTTCCTGTCTAGTCTTTCTCTATTTTAAAATTAAATCACAAGCCTTCCATAAAATGGTGTGACCTTTGTGTATACCCATTTATAAAAACATTGTGGGATCGTGGGTGTAAAAATCACTAAAAGATTAAGGAAAAGAAAAATCATAATGTTTTTAGGTTAATACACTGAGTAAAATTAGAATCAGTTGATGACTATAAGAACAGGAAAAATAAATTTTAATGTGGTAGCTTAACCTTAAAACACAACAATTTAAGCATATTTATGTCATTTAAAATGTACATGGTAAAGTATGCAAAACTATAAAACTACTAATTTGAATCCACACCATAGGGTATAGTTTATTCCTAATTTAGGAGTGTACATCCTAAGTATGAATATGATGCCTGTTAATCTTAAGTGCTGAAGTAGATGTTTGAGTCAAAGGACAGCTTCCATTAGCCAATGTTGTTATTATATTTTTAAACTTTAGGCTTTTCAGAGAAGCACAAGAAATGAAATAGCAGCACTTGGTTTCCTAAGTTCCAGACCTTCTAGCAACTAGAAATTAACTAGAACTTGTTTTACTGTTTAGGGAATCAATTGAGAAAAGTAAAAAAGGTGAGGTTCACAGTTTCATTAGGGAGATGAGTGTTCAAGAATAATACTAGTATAAAACCAATATCTCCTCCCCAATATGTATAGCAGCTTTAAAGAGAAAGTTGTCTTTATTGTATAAAATGAAGCATAATTGATTTAAGCATTTTCTTATAGAATATCCCATAACTAAAGAAAAATAGAGTGCAATGCACTGTGTTTAATGATAAAGGCACATCTTTTGACCTATCTAGATTTGGAGACTATACATCTTTGTACACATTTCAGAGAAAACAATAGAGAGATAAATGACAAGTGCAAATTTTGAAAACAGATAAACATAGGGAATTAGAAGAGACAAAAGCTGATGTCAAAAGGTTCCAAGGAAATTACCTATGACATTTAAAAACATGTTGCTTTTTACAGACTTAGAAAAAGTCAAAGCAAGAAAACCAAAAATCCTACTATATCGGTTCTATGATTGTTTTATATAAAAGCCCGTTTTTGAAACATTGGCAGCTTTCTCATACTCTCTGTGATATTTATTGAGTTAAATCTCTTCATGTATCTCTAGGAATAGATAAACTTTTTCAGGTCACTGAGGCAATGATTTTTCTGAAGGAAATATCCAGAAAAATGTGAGGTCCCAGGGGTTTCTCACTCCCTAAGACTAGTTTACCTTTAGTCTTCAGCAATTGTCAAAATTACCATTTAATTGTTCCTATAGGTTATGGCTTCAGCAACTTCTGCTCTCATTAAGCAGATCTTATAGATACTGATTGCTGTGTCTTTCTGGATATGCCTGTCTCCAGATTTTGGGGTGGCAGTTTGTTTTTGCAACTTCGTTTATCTGATAGATTTAAGAAAAGTTTTTGATTTTTCAATTTGTCCAGCTTTTCTTTGTGAGGGTGGGAGCAACAACTCCAAGCTCCTCACGTCAGAGCTGAAAGCACAAGACTCAACTTGCATTCTTTTTAAAAAGTTTTATTTTATTTTAAATTGATGTATAATAATTGTTCATATTTATGGAATCATATACTGTGATATCTTCATGTACTGTGATATCTTCATATCCTGTGATATTTTGATACATGTATACAATGTATAATGATCAGATTAGGATAATTAGCATATACATCACCTCAAATATTTATCATATCTTCTTGGTGAGAACATTCGAAGTCCTCTCTTTTAGCTATAGTCACGTGCTGCATTACAACATTTTAATCAATGACTAGACCACATGTATGATGGTTGTCCCATACTATATTTTTACTGAGCTTTTTCTATGTTTTCATATGTTTAGATACACAGACACTTACCATGTGTTACAATTACCTATAGTATTTAGTACAGTAACATGCTGTACATGTTTGTAAGCTAGGCTAGGAGCAATAGGCTATACCATCTAGTCTAGGTGTGTAATAGATATACCATCTAGGTTTGTGTAAGTATACTCCATGATGTTGGCACAAGGAGAAAATTGCCTATGATGCATTTCTCAGAATGTATCCTTATCTTTAAGAGAAGCATGACTGTATTTTGAAACATCCCATATGTTCTTGTGAACTGTAGTCACCTTGCTTGCCATGGAACACTAGAACTAATTCCTCCTATCTAACTGTAACTTTGTACTTATTGACCAACCTGTCTCTGTCTTTCCCTCCCCACAACCCCTCCCAGATTTTAGTAACCAATGTTCAACTCTCCACTTCTATGAGATAAAGGCTATTATATTCCACGTGAATGAAATAATGTGGTATTTGTCTTTCTGTGTCTGACTTATTTCACTTAACATAATGGTAGACACTGAATTTTGAATGATGATGTATTTCATACACAATGCTGAATTGAATTTACTAATATTTTGCTTGGGATTTTTGAATTTATGCACATGAATGAGATTGGTCTATAATTTTCCTTTCTTATATTGCCCTTGTTTGATTTTGGTATGGAGAATTTATAAAATAACATAAAATTTATTGTTCTCTCTTTCTTGTATTTTCTATACTCTGGAAGAGTTTGTGTAAGACTGAAATTAATTGTTCCCTAAAAGGTTTGTAGAAATTGCCTGTAAAATTATCTGGACCCATTGTTTTCTTTGTTGGAAGATTTAACTCTACTTTATGGCTTTTATGGTTACAATACTACTTGGTTGTTAACACCTTGAGCATGTTTTGGTAAGTTATATTTTCTAGAAATTTCTTCACTTAGTCTTCAAATTTATGAGCACAAATTATTCATTACATGTTCCTATTGGTGTATCTATTTCTTTTTTTCTGGTGTCTTTCCCTTGTAGAGAGGATTATAAATGGGCCAGAGATAATTATCTTTAGGAAATTTCTCTGGTAACCCAATGTGTGATTAGGTCAGGGCTGTTTTTTTAAAACATCTACTCCCTGCCACCGTCCAATCAGGGTTATCTGTTACCAACTCCAAAAGTCACATCAGACTCCAAATATCTTCTGTCATTCTGTAGCATATGTTGAGAATTGGCCTAGACTATGCCTGAGCCTATAGATTTAAAAAGGCTTTAATAATTGCATCGTTTTGATATCTTAACATTTGATGAAGGTCTCTGCAACCAACTTGGCTAGATTCAGCATGCAGCACTCCAATTCAGAGGCTGCATTTAGACACAGCCTGTGAATCCAAAGTAACATGAGCAAAGTTCTAGTCACGCCATAGTTTGTGGCTGCCAAAATGTGGACACGGAAGCAGTTATTTTAAAACTTGATAAGCAACACAGCATTTTGCAGAACTATGGAATAAAAGGAATATTGTGAGTTGCCCAACTGGGAAAGCATTTGCAAGATTATCGACATCCTGATCATTGAATGCTCCTTACCTGATCACAGGATGTATAATATAGGTATTTTTTTTTACAGCATAATTTATATTTTAAGCAAGGTAATTTTTTTTAAGGCATGATTTATGTTCTAGGGACTTTTCTATGTTTGGTACTTTATTCTCATGAGATTTAGTAATCTTTTGTTTAAAATGAGAATATATTTAATTTTCATCTTTAAGTATAATTTATATACAAATATAGATTTATCTATCTATCTATTTATCTATTCATCCATCTAGCAATCATATATTTAGATACCTAGATGTCTCAGTATAATATTCTTGTATTGCATTTTTTTGAGGGGGGTATAATTTATACACAAGTTAAATTGGGAAGTTGGAAACTTCTTCAGTGTTCATGTAATGTTTAATTTAAATTATTTCCAACCACAGCCCAAGTCTCATGCTGCTATGGACAATCTGTGTTTCTTGGTATATGTTCCAACATTTTATTTAACAAAATAGAAATAGAAGAACAAATATAAAAGCGCCAAATGTGAAGTATAGCTAGAAGGCTTTGACAGACATAACAGCAAAGCTACTTTATCTTTACAGCATTTGATTCAGGGACACTGTAACTCAAAAGTTTTCATCTTTGAGCATTTAATTCTGTAATTTAAAGAACAACTCAATACAGCATAAAAAGGAGAAATGTCCAGTTCAGTCCTCATGCACATAAATCTGACAGTGTGAAATGACATCAGCTCTAGCAAATTTGGTCTTGATTTGATTGTGATTATTTCCAAAGAAACTCTTCTTGACCCCTCCTATCAACTTCCTCATTTAGTCAGAATCAAGGATATTAACTCAGCTTGGAAAAATAATTATTGATGATTAAAAATATATACTACATCGATGAAATATGATGTTGAGATTTTCAGGGCACACATTTATAAATGAAGTGAACCACATAAAAAGCTAAAATTTCCATTCATTTAGCAGTTAAAATGGAGACACTAAGCATTAGGGAAAAAGCTGTCTGATATAATAAAAAATATACAAACCAAGTCATAGATTTTCTTCCCCTACTCTCGCCGACCATCTTAACCAGTTAAAAGGAGCAGAATTGTGTCTATGTTGGTAAACTGGGATAAACCCACACATTTACATAAAATTTATATAAATATCTCATGACTCACCTTTGCTCATATCTATGGCACAACAAGAATAGGGAATCACCTTACTCATTGCATTCACTTAGTTAAAAAAAAACTTTGGTAAATCAGACAAAAAAACCCAGTTTTTCAGTACACCCACCAGGCACAGCATAATTAAGCTCTTAAGAAGCTCATTAACCCTTTTAGGTCTCTGGGAGAGCTTTGTTACTTAAATGAGAGGGAAGAAGGCTTTCTGATATATTCAGGTAAGTCCAAACGAGCGACCCGCGACAAAGGGAAAACATTCAAGGACTGAATAAATAGTTATAGTAGCTGAATTTTTAAAGCCATATTTTTCCTGAATTGAAAGGGCAAAACAGCTTATCTTCCACTCTCTTTACATAGATCTCTTAGAAAACAAAAGGTAACTGCTAGTGGCTTATTGGAAAGTGCAATCTCAGGAAAGCAAGAGTAAGAAAAATGAAAGGCAGTCAGGGGAGGAAAAGAGCAAACCCAACATGGTCCAATGTGGAACTGCAACAAACAAAACAGATCTGGTTGTCAGGTCTCCAGAGAGGCTCTTCAGAGCATTGCATCTTGGAAGAGTCTACTGCAGAGATATGAGTATTCATCTGCTAGTTCTTTCCCTTCTTCTGTATTTTATTGGCCTAAATCAAAGGAATTGACTCCAGGTAAATTCTGGGTTGTGTTATCTGGCCCTTCTGTCAGCTGCTGGAAAAACTAGGGTCTCTCCTGTCAATTGGTGAATTACATGGAGATTTTTTTTGGCTTTAGCACCACGGGAACAGCCTAAGCCTTTGCCAAGGCAGCTCCCAGCAGAAAGCAAGAGAAGCAGCAGAAGCCAGAGTTGGGGGATGGTGGCTGAAGGGAGAAGGCAAATTTGGGATAGTGCTCAAATTGATTCTGGTGCACCTGTGAAAAGAGTATGTATAAATGTGTATGTGTGTTTGGGCAAGTGATGAATTCAAGGATATGCATGGATATGATTCCCCAACAGGAATCTATCAACTAGGGTAATAAGTAAATATAAAAGTGGAGGGCATACTGTCACTGTACAAGAGGCTGTTGTGATGCCTAAAAGAGAAACCCAAAGCATGCCAAAGCTGAGAATCCCTTAGATGTTTTAATGAGAGCAAAGGAGATTTGAGTGTGAAGAGTTTCTGGGTGGCACTAACTGTGCTGGCATAAACCTAGAAAGAGTACAGTCAACAGACGATTGTACTGAGATGAGGTCTTTGAGCAAAGGTAATGGGTAGGGTAACATATGGCAGTAGCCTGAGGAAATAGAGCCAAAGGAAAATTCAAACAAGCATTGAGGCAGCCCCCACATCCCAAGGTCTTAGTGGACAGCAGTGTAGGACACATTCCCACTGAGTCTGTTTTCTATTCATTCCTGATGGTTGGTTTCTCAACTTGGCATGTATTCCTATTCACCTCATCTGCAGAAGTTTAAGTCTTCTCAGAACTTTAAAGAGATGGAAGAGCTTCTGATGTCCTAATCTATCAGCAAAAACAAAGGCTCCATCAGGATCACCACACAGAGGTGCCAAGGCATGGAGAAATTGGGAATAGCAAATAAGCAGTGTAATGTGACCAGAAAGGCAATCTACAGGCTAACCAAATCAAAAGAGTTTTTCCTTTTTGACCTACCTGGGTTTTGTCATGTAGAACTATTTGATGCTAGGAATGCTATTTGGAAACACTATTGCAAATGGAAGGATGCTTTGTATTCAGCACCCAATTTTTTTTTAGTATGAATTTGGAAAATTTCCCAGATTTTACATCTGGCTGTCTGATTTCCACCTTAGAGGATAAGACCAACCAGGTGGATGGTGAAACTAAGTTTAGTCACTGGAGAGAAAACAAGTCTTCTTATATGCCATTTTTGAATTAACTCTTTAGGAGCTCTTTATATTTTCAGCAGCAGCTAGATAATGATGTATAGACACTTTGTTATTCTCATCTAAATATGCTTATTATTTGTTTATTTACAATATGTTGAGAATCTATTTTACCCTATGGAATTATAGATCTGCTTATGGAAGATCATTTAGAATATAGATTTGTTTCTGTGCCTGCTGGTGAATTTAATGCAGCTTATAAAATAAAAAAAATTAAATGAGACCCTTTCCTCATAGTCACATATTAAAATATTTTAAAAATATTTTAAAAATGGTTTTAAAGCAAGAAAAATATTTTTCTGGATGAAAATGGAAGTAATGTCATCAATGATTTTGCCTCCATAACTGTAAGATATAGTGTGGAAGTGAAAGCTTGTATAATGTGAATGTGAACCACCATTTCTTCTGAGAAAACATTTCAAGCATCCTGACAATTACCAAATTACGGATGGCTACCACTTTGAAAATAATTTTGGTTTATGGAGGTGATTGTGTTTCTGTCGAAATAACAGGAATCCACGGGATGAGGCTGAAACTGGAAAGTGCTCCCCTGTTCCTTTGCTCATTCAAACCTGCTACATGGTACATGAAGGGAGACCTCCACCGTTTGGAGGAAATATTTGACAAATTCCATGACTTTTCCAGTCACTCTAAGAAAATCAAAAGCCTTCTAGTTCCTCTAGCCATAAAACAAATTCTAATTTTAAGTCCCATGGTGTAGCAAAACTTTACACTTCATATCAAATTAAGGCTTCTCCTCTCCTCTGGCTTGGCTTGTTCTGACTGGAATCTGCAGTGGCAGGCGGGTGTGGAGAATGGCTTTATGTTCTTACATTTCATTTCTTCCTCCCCTTATTTACTCCATTTGGCTGTCTCTGGGTTTTCCAAGGTTGGAAGGAGGAAGGAAAAGAGGGGACAAACAAGAAATACTGTGATCTGGCCTTGGATTCTCTGGTTTTGGTGGTTGTTCGTGGTTGACTCTAGGAAAAGCGAAGGGACAATTTTATGGGTCTATGAAGCTTGTCTCATTGGGTCTACTTGTGTAAACTTCCTGTGACATAAGCAGTGTGTTCTCCATCTTCCAGTTGGCTATTTGAATTATTTCCCTCAGCCTCAGGGCATGCGGTAGACCGTCCCCTCATCCCTTCCGTGCAGTTGTCTCCACCAAAATCTAAATGGCTCCAGGCTGATTCTGTCCTGCATGGCCAATAGCTGGTCCCTGAGAAATGCTATATATCCTTGTTTCCACTCTCATATTTGCACCTACAATTCAGTACAGCTTTCTTTCTCAGTTGCCATCAGTCACTTAGCCAGTTTCTCCCTTGTTTATTTTTTCTGTGTGATTTAATTACCATTTCACTGGGTCCCTGAACCCCAGGGGAGACACAACAGCTCCTCCCACCTGACTTGATGTAAGGAGAAAGCAGCCTCCTCTCTTTCTCCATAGGTAGCAGGAGAGAAATGCTATAGCACTCCAACACTTTTCTCCAAGGACATTCTCTTTAACAGACTTTCAGTCTCAAACTTTTTATACCCTCAATGGGTTTTGGGCTAAGGGTCACAAAACTGACTTTAACCCTGTCTTTTTGTATGTCATTCATAAGTAGTACAATACCTCACTCTAGAAAGGAGGATATCTTTCATCACTGTTCTCTCTGTTTTAGGCTTCATCCCAGAAACAAAGACAGAATGGTCCACTTTTAACATCCTGGCACATAAAGTAAACCCAAGCTATAAGATTTATGGTCATACTAATATATTCTGTTCATCGTATATGGACTCAATAAATAACTGTTACTAAAGTATAAAAATCCATTAACAGAACAAGACATCAAATAGTGTCCTCAACACTGGATTTGTCTTATTTTATCAACAATTCAGGTTACATATGTAAAAATAAAACCTCATAATACATAATGGCTAAATGAAAACTGGATTTAAAGTTGGTTACATTTATTTATGTGCTCAGCAGACATTTGTAGAATTCTAGTCTTACCAGGCAC